CCTGCCCTGAATTAATCTGCCGCCCTATTTTGGTGTCATCCGCAAACTTGCTTATGTCACTGCTGATCCCAGTATCTAGATCGTATGTAGATTATGAACAAGAGTAAAACCCCACTGGTTACACGGCCTCACTCAGATTTAACACCATCTACGCTGACCCTCTGCGTTCTATCGGTGAGCCATGATTTTATCCAATTTAAAACTTTCCCCTCGATACCATGAGCCTTAATTTTTTTCAGAAGCCTTTGCTAAAGTCTAAGTAAATAACATGGTAATTTTCGTCATTATCTACTACCTCGAAGACTTTCCTAAAAAACATCATCAGATTTGTTAGACAAGATTTTCCCTTTGTAGACCCATGTTGAGAGTCGTAAATTAATTTGCTTTTCTCTAAATGCGATCGATGCTATCTGCTATAATTGATTCAAGAAATTTCCCCACTACTGACGTCAAACTGATCGGCCGGTAATTTGACGCTGATGCTCTGTCTCCCTTTTTGAATATGGGTACTACATTTGCCGGTTTCCGCAAGTCTGGCACAACTCCCGTGTCTAATGATTTTGTAAATAAATTTTCGAGGGGTCCGCTAATCTGTTCCCTACACTCTTTCAAGACTCAAGAGAAAATTTCATCCGGCCCTGGGGATTTTGTCTTCTTTAGTTTATTTATCCTCTTCTGAACATCCTCTTTTCTGATAGTGATATTCTTTAATTTCTCTTCTTCCTTTCCCCTAAATATCAGTTCCAGCTCTGGAATTTCCTCGCGAATTTCTTCTGTGAAAACTGAAAAGAAGTACCGTATATACTCGTGTATAGTTCGAGTTTTTAAGACCAAATTTTTAGGCAAAAATTTGGGGGGTCGTCCTATACATGCGTAATAGTTTTGTTAGGTCGACCCGTGCATGATGGGAAGGGCGAGGAGCAACTTTTAGCTTCAGACATGAAAAATATTTACCATTTACTGCCAGTAAACAATGGAAACATAAAATACGCACCAATTAGTAATGAAAAGTTGTGCAGTTCCTTCAGTAAATGAAGCTCACCAACTTACAATATGCTAAATTACCTTACAACGGGCTTTCAGTAGTCTATGTTGAAGTTCTTAGCACAGGCTAACTTATCATATACGGTATCACAGTTCTCATTGATCTACAAAAAATACCGGTAATAAAAACCTTTTCGATATTTCACACTTAATATAATACCCGGTAATCTACTTCAACCTCCTATTGTTTACAACGATGCATGACGCACCACCAGCTGTTGAGTATCAGCTAGACGGTACACGTGTTTTTCGAATCGTTTTCAGTTAAAAAACTGTTACATCACATGTATATTTTACCTTAACTGTGCCTGAATGAATATATTCTCGGAAATAAATAGTAGTTTTGCTGAAACGATGTATTTCAATGTAAAGTAGGATAAATTACATGACGAAAACAAAATATTTCACCTAACCTTCCGATGTTCAAGAGAAGTTACTCGTTTTTTAATAGTTTTTGGTAAAAATACTGTTATATTACAATGGTATTCTATTCATATTGTGCTTGATATAATGCATTCACAGAAATGTAATATTTTTTCTGAAATGACGTACGTATTACAGTGGAAAGTGGGATAAAATTATGACGAAAACAATCCACTTTCACTTTGTTTCGTTGTTCAAAAGATGTTACCGTAATCGGTTTTCGAATGGTTTTCAGTTAAAAAAACTGTTGTATTACAATAATATTCCCTCCTGTCATGGGTTGCGTTAGGCTTACCCACGCAACCAACTTCAAAGTTTGTTTTACCAGAGATAAGACGCCCGGCGAGGCATAACTGGGACATGTATTTTTCAATTAGTGTATGTCAGCCAGCCTTTAGGGGGGTGGGCAGTGAAACAGTGTTGTACTGTTCATCGCTTCACACCCAAAAACCTCATTTTAAGCAGTATCCCCTGAGCCATGGGTTAGTTAAGACGTCGTCTCCATCCTCTCCCTCCTGAAGGGGGGGCAGGACACCACACCACACCACACAGAGTCCTCCACCGCCACTCCGTCCTGTGAACCGTCGTCGACACGAGACTAAGTGTGTTAACCTAGGTTGTTATCCCCGTGGAAATATCACGTGTGGATGCCTGGTTGCGACAAGAGCAATCCAGGCTGGCCTATCAAACCTACAGTAAATGGTTAATTAATTCACGCTTACAGAGTTCTCCTGCACGACACCCGTCTACTGTGACCGTGATCGACACGAGACTAAGCGTGTTAACCTAGGTTTGTTATCCCCGTGGAAATATCACGTGTGGAAGCCTGGTTGCGACAAAAGCAATCCAGGCTGGTCTATTGCACCTAGATGGTTAATTCAAGTCACGCTTACAGAGTTCTCCTGCACGACACCATGTGTGGTAACCCAAGAGTACTTTTTGTTGCTGTGGCCCGTGGAAAGAAGTTCTTGTGCAGAAGCCTGGTTGCAACAAAAGCAATCCAGGCTGGCAGTAAATGTATCACTTGAAGAATTAAGGCTCTGTTAAGTCCCACCCATAGTAGAGTAACCAAATGTGTCCCCAAGTTTAAAATTCCCTGTTTTAGAAGATTCATTTTATTACAGCGTGAACGTGAGTAACTCATATATCCATGCAAATTGTAAATCATTGTATGGAAGCTTGACAAATAAATGTAAGTGCAATTATCTGCCCGTATCTGTGATCCTATCTTATTATTACTAAAGGTAATGACTGATTGGTTATGACATAGTATAACCAATAACTTAGATGGATGTTGAAAATTAAATGAATTCATTATATCATCATTTATCAAGTATAAATAATGGAATGTCGAGTGGTGGAGTGAACTTCTACGTAGATACGCCATAATCTCCTGTAAGTAATCAGTGTGAAGGTATCGGACTCTACGGTAAGAAATACGACATATTATTATCTTTATATAATATAATCCACTCCTACTACCACGGATTCATACCAAACCCATGACACCTCCTAATTGACTTGAATAAATACTTGAATGGAAATATACAATATTTTTTGTTGAAACTACCCTCGTTTCAGTGTAAAGTCTCGTAATAATAATCCTCCCTCTTTTATTGGTCGGTCCATATTTTTTTTACCAAGAAATCGTTAATTTATGATATTCCTCGTTTATAAGTCGACCCAAGTTTTTGAGGGTAATGGAACAACAAAACCTTTTTTTACACCAGTATGCAAGTTAATAAAGAGAACTTTGCTTCAGTGTAATAAAATTTATCAAATCAATTGCCTATCAAATAATTTAGATACTACACTAATGAAGTACAGTATGTAGGATTAGCATATAGCATTAGTTAATACAAATATCACCTGATGCGGGAAATCCAAGGAAATATCCTGGTTTGTCCCAGGATGCTAAGAAACCCCCCAAAACCCTACTAGAGTGTTACATCCTGTAGTACACCCCCCTGTGGAGGCCGAGTACAGTACAGGTTGTACCTCTCTAGTCAGCCGGCATTCTGTGGTACGGAACGATTTTAGCTTGCCCAATAGGAAGATAGGCAGCTATTATTATTATTTATTTTTTACTTATCTGAATTATTATTATTACAGGAGTATTAAATTTTCGCCCCTCAGGCCCCAATGTGGGTCAGTGACCTGTGCCCAGGTGGGGTAAACCCCGTAAAAAAAAAAAGCCGCGGGAAATTAAGGTTTGTTTACATCCAGCAGTTCGGCTCGCTCGCTCTCTCTCTCTGTTTGAACAGTAAATAAGTGTTGCTTTCATATTCTTATGTAAAGCAATAACGATATGTATCAACTAAAACAATGCTGTCTCATTTCCTCGCGTGTTTTAATATTCTATGTATTATCAATGAATTGTATTGCTCATTTTGCAAACATAAACATTAATTCAATCAAAAAGACATTCAGTAATAAACAATAATGAATCTTTTGTACATAAGAGAAATGACGCTGTTTACACGATTGTGCACGTCTGAACATTGACAGGCCTTTTAAAAACGTCGAAATTTGAGTTTCCGCCTTTCAAAATTTTAAATTGTGTATTTTTTTTCCCAAATAAAAAACGTCGAATTAAAAACTCGCGAAATTTGAGAAGCTACTGTACGACATTTAACCCTTCAATATGTCTTCAAAGAGACCACGAAGCAGAGAAAGTGGTGCTCGCGTGTAAGCACAAGTCACCATCTATCCAGGAAAAGGGTGAATTTCCATGGTCCGGCACCGGTCAGGTCCCGGACTAGAGAGGTACAACCTGTACTGTACTGTACCCCCTTGTTGAGTAAGGCACCAATTCTGTTTGACATTAAAATAATAAAAATAAATTTGTATTAACTTGGTATTCATTTTGTTTTACTAACACATTATAAGAGAGGGAGACTGAAATAAAGGCAAGCACTTTAAGAAACCTGTTCAAAAAATTAAAAACAATTCAATGTTCACTAACAAACAACACAAGAAAAACTATGAACAGAACGAAACCAACGCCAACCGTTCACTTCTGTCACTACCTGAATACTGATTTGACCTGCAGGGACTTTAAAACATTTGTCCACTCACATGATCCCCCAGCCAACACTTGTATAAAAAACTAATCACTCCCAGCATCATGTACAGCCATGTGCCACCTTGGACACTTACAGTAGGTTCCCCAGCCCTGCTCTAGGACCAATCTCCTGCACCACATGCAGTGCTAACCATCTCATTAGTAAAGTAAGTTTATGATTTTGTCATGTTAACAATATATCCTAACAATTATTGAAAAATATTATTTGTTTACTCTCTCTCTCTGTATTTAGTGGCAATGGGTGAATATTAGGCTGGTAGATCGAGTCAGGGTAACCGTGGAAAAAGTAGATCACATCACACAAAAGGCTGGCCACCCCTGCACAAGAGGGACTGGCAGCTCAAAATTGTGAGGAAACTGTGTTTTTATTTATCCATGATGCTGCAAAGGAATAATTAGAGCTAATACTACAATGTGGTGAAATTTGGGCAATACTAAAACACCATAATAAACTATTAACGTTTACTTCTGTACAAGACTGGGCTTCAACAGCTTATGGTACTAAATCAACTAGGAATGGTTAATAAAAATAATAATAATACAAGTAATGTAAGTGAGACAATCATCACTACATGGACAAGAGTTGTACTGCCGTCTGTGTGATTTCGAAGAAAATTTTACCGTCATCGGTCGAGTTCTTTCTTACTCCAAAGAAGTAATACTCTTGAGATTCCTTCAGTGAGTTCAATATGTTCGACAGTTGACGGTCAAGTCCATCTTGTTCCCACGAATAAGCTGTAGGCAGAGCTGTTGAGAGAATATAATGTTGTTGTTATGGTATATTGTCTTAGGTTCTGTTGGGTATACTCAGTGTTGTACAGGAGACAATGATGTTAAGAGAATATAATGCTGTTGTTATGGTATATTGTCTTAGGTTCTGTTGGGTATACTCAGTGTTGTACAGGAGACAATGATGTTAAGAGAATATAATGCTGTTGTTATGGTATATTGTCTTGGGTATACTCTACACTGCCCTGGTATAGCTAGTCAGTCTTTAGCTGGACACCACACATTGCTGATCTACCACTGAGCAGTAGCCTGAGAGACCCCTTCACTCCTAACAGATCTAAACACCATCTCTAACACTGCTCTCAAGCTCACAGTCCTCAGTCCCAGATCAAGTGGCCAGCCTCTCTCTACATATAACTGCCTGTATCCGTCCACCCATCTCAGAGAAGTCAACTAAGACACAGTTTTTTAACAATATCTGGTAATTCCCTAATTAAATGTGAGTCTTCAGAGGAAGTTACATGTGTGTGTGTGTGCACCAATACCTCTACCTCCAACCATAATAAAGAACTCTTAAGAGCAACAGATGACATCAAGAATAAAAGTTTTCATACTTACCAAAGAATCGTCTCAATTCCTCTCCACCCAGATTAGCTTTCATTTTTGTCTCGGACCAAATTTCTGCAAATTCCAGTTCAATGGCATCTTGTGGTATGACTGTACTCGTGCCGACCCTCTAAGGACCTGCAGTCCCTCGTAGCTGCTTCATCTGTCAACGCAAAACACGTTTTTGTTGATGGGGGTACACCGAGGGACGAAAGGCAGTTGAGTACTGCGAGATAAACAAACTACAGTGTGTTGGTCCTGCAAGGTAGATAACACAGCAGCTCGTTGTTAACTCTCAACCATACACCACAGTAAAGTCCTCACACAGTCAGTTTATATATGCTCCTCACTTATCAACGAGGTTACAACTTGCCCTTGTCATGATCGTGATAATGGCTAACCTGAAAACCTTAAGGATTCATATTACGCTCAAACATCCACAAAACCTTCCGAGTCCCCCAGTGGAAACGTCCCCCGTTTTCTCTGTTTCCCCGTCTTTGTCTTAAGGGAACTTTGAATATAATCCACGGATTTAGTAGCAGACGCTGTATGTTGGGACCTGTTGCCATCCAACCCTTTGTAATCAATTTAATTTTGCTTTTGATAGCTGAGTCAGAGCATTGTTAGTGAAGATAATAGTAGGGAATGAAACCGAGTTCATAGTCTCAGTTTCAACGTCAGAGTGTACAGTAAATTAATTCATCGGAATAGAAGTAGGTGGACTCCCTGGCCTATTTTGAGTGAGGGCGCCGCTGGCATTTCTACCGTTAGTGAGTGCCCGTCCCTTCATCCATACAGGTATGCCATTCCACGCTGTGTTGTAATTCGCCCTTCTTTAAGTGATTTGACCCAATTAATAGTTGATTGTGCAAGTGTTACAGTAACGTAGTTGATATGCTCTGAGTGAAGTCATATTTACGTCTTTAACGTCCCCTGAAACGTGATGTTGTTGTCACCGTTAGTGAGTGCCCGTCCCTTCACCCATACAGGTCCCTAACGCAGCCTAGGCCGTGTCTGTAGCATGGATGTTGTATCCACTATGTCTGGGGAGATGTCCGAGGTCCAGTAGGATCAGTTACCTTCGTGAGACCCGGCCGTCAGACACTTCAGACTACCTATAGCCCCCATAGCTGGCTCGTCTGGCCCTAACGCTCGGCCTGCGAGGCGACCCCGAATCACCAAGCCACACACCACTACCAGCCCCCATCATTGGTGGATGAGTGTCTAACTCAGTAGGGCTATTTGTGTGGTGGAATTAATCCACTGGGATCTTCAGAGTTCGTCGGAAAGTACTCCATGGTGGCTGGACCCCATGGCTGTTGCTTGAGTATCACCCCTGACGACTGAGTGTTGTAGTGGCAGTTGGCCTGGTCTTTATGGTGCTAAGTGACAATAAGAGTTGTGTGTTATTGAGTATGTCCACCCAGTAGAGTTGGAAGTGTTATTGAGTATGTCCACCCAGTAATGGTGTGAGTATGTTGAGCCTGAGGGCCTAGTACTAGATTTCGTCTGTTGGTACAAATAAATTCTTTCTCCTAATTTCATATTCATGTTTAAATAAATTTTGTATCTGTATAATTGTGTCTATTATTTACCTACAGCATTTACCGTTATTTCTTCCCTATTGCTTGATACTATCATTACATCTACCCACGAGCCTCCTCTCGTCACGCTACCAATGGTAATAAGTATGAGAGTAAAAGGAATTGTTACTGGCACACAGAGGCCCTCTTAAATGGTGGCAGCTCAGGCCCTCATAAATGGTGGCAGCACAAGCCCTCATACCCTGACAACTCCATTGTGCACAGATGACACCCTGGATGTACCCAACAATGTCTGTGGACACTTGTTATCAGCCGGGACAGGGAGCCATTTATTTTATACACAGTAATTTCTTTTACCTGTAGTGTATACGTGTCTGCACACAATACAGGTAAAAAAAATAATTGTCCTAAGGGCAAATGTTATTCATGGCCATTTTGAGATCCAAACCCTCACAAATTTTAAGAGCTTGCTGTATTTCATTTACCTGATTTATTGTATTTTATCATTGTATTTGTCTTACATTAAGGTATTTTAGATGTATACAACACTTACTATTACTGATAACAATACCTGCATGTGGTGTCTTCAGTATATTGAAGTTCTTTATCTTTACAGCTATTTCATACAGCTCCCCCACTTAACCAGCGTCTAAAAATTGTTCAATTGTCACGTCCCTATGTTCCCCTGTAACACCTGAAAAACATTATGTAACATCAATACAAAGAGTAAATCAAGTGTGGCTGGTATTGCAAGGATCCTTAGGGGTCATTCTGGGAGTTTTAATGCCACGTAAACAAACACACAGATGCCACAACAAATACTTCCTCTCACTTCTTACATATTCTCTGGGGTCTTGGTTAACGCTGGCTCCCACCTCCCCACTCGTTATATTCTCTGGGGTCTTGGTTAACGCTGGCTCCCACCTCCCCACTCGTCGATGGCCGGGACACTGAAAATGTTGAGTGACAATTGTTTTAACTTACAATAATAATGTTTAGGCAGTGTGACCAAGAAGAGCAGAAAAGGTCATCAAATGCCTATTACCAGTTAGGTTGTTCACTACTGTAAGAGAAGGGAAGGAAAGGTAAAGGAGGATAAAGAAGGGTGAGAAGGATAAAGGAGGAGGGAGAGAAGGATAAAGGAGGAGGGAGAGAAGGATATAGGAGGAGGGAGAGAAGGATATAGGAGGAGGGAGAGAAGGATATAGGAGGAGGGAGAGAAGGATATAGGAGGAAGGAGAGAAGGATATAGGAGGGAGAGAAGGATATAGGAGGAGGAAGAGAAGGATATAGGAGGAGGAAGAGAAGATATAGGAGGAGGGAGAGAAGGATAGGAGGAGGGGAAGAGAAGGAGAGGGAGGGAGGGGAGAGAAGAATATAGGAGGAGGGAGAGAAGGAGGCAGAGAGGGAGGAGAGAAGGAGGTAGGGAGGAGGGAGAGAAGGAGACAGGGAGGAGGGGAGAGAAGGACATAGGAGGAGGGAGAGAAGGATAGAGGAGGGGAAGAGAAGACAGGGGAGGAGGGAGAGAAGGATATAGGAGGGAGAGAAGGATATAAGAGGAGGGAGAGAAGGATATAGGAGGCAGAAGAGAAGGATATAGGTGGAGGGAGAGAAGGATATAGGAGGAGGAAGAGAAGGATATAGGAGGAGGGAGAGAAGGATATAGGAGGAGCAAGAGAAGGATATAGGAGGAGCAAGAGAAGGATATAGGAGGAGGAAGAGAAGGATATAGGAGGATGAAGAGAAGGATATAGGTGGAGGGAGAGAAGGATATAGGTGGAGGGAGAGAAGGATATAGGAGGAGGAAGAGAAGGATATAGGAGGAGGGAGAGAAGGATATAGGTGGAGGGAGAGAAGGATATAGGAGGAGGGAGAGAAGGATATAGGAGGAGGGAGAGAAGGATATAGGAGGGAGAGAAGGATATAAGAGGAGGGAGAGAAGGATATAGGAGGCAGAAGAGAAGGATATAGGTGGAGGGAGAGAAGGATATAGGAGGAGGAAGAGAAGGATATAGGAGGGAGAGAAGGCAGTACAGAACAATATAGTGACTTACATAACTTGTTACTGGCCGACATTGCTCCCTCTGCCTTTGAGAGGCTCTCCAGGTCAAATGGAGGAGGTGACATATACGCTCCTGTAGATAGATAGATGTTTTAATGATCACAAATTATTAATACAAACTTTACACCAAAATTTTACATACAATAAAATGGTCCAAATGTTTTAAAAGACCAAACATTAATAAAAGTTCACCGATTCAACCAGTAACACAAAACCACGAGTAAATAAACTAAAACACATAAAATGGTTGACTTGTAACTATATACATGAAGTATTAGATGAACTGCACAACAAACAGTTTCATAATCCATTCTTTCAGTTAACAAATTTACAACAGTTGAAATACTATATTGATGGTGTGTTGTTATGAATGGGGTAATGTACTGTGTACAGTGAAATATATTTCACCCCAAGTTATGGAAATATAATTGTATCTAATGATGTGAGAGCAGGGCTGGTATTTGATACATCAAATATTTTTCTGTATGTATGAAGGCATTTTTGTAGCATAATGTGGGAGTTTATTAATATTGGTTCCCTGAAGTATAGAGCCAAGTCAGTCACTGGCTGGCCTTGGAGGTGGAAGGATGTCTCAGTTTGTCAGTGGTGGATACCTTTTCAAATTGGGTTTAGTTAAGTATTAACCATTCAGTGTTGCTCTATTATTTATGGGTGTAAATTACTATTACAAAATAGTTTATTGTTTATATATTAGTTGTTTGTTATGTTATGGAACCTACACACTTATTATGGTAATTTGGTTGTCATTTTTTAAATCTTTTATACAGAGTATAATTGTTAACCTTCACTCCTGAACTGTTGGGATAAAGGCAGCTGTTTGAACCCAGCAATAAGATGTGTTGAGTTAACAATTGTGTCATAAGAGCCACCATTAATCTTCAAGTTAATAAGTTATGGGCACTCTTCACCAACTGAATAACACCACATGAACACAATCCATGGCCCCCGTTCCTCCTCCATGGCCCCCGTTCCTCCTCCATGGCCCCCGTTCCTCCTCCATGGCCCCCCTGCCCCCTCCATGGCCCCTGTTCCTCCTCCATGGCCCCTGTTCTTTCCTCCATGGCCCCTGTTCCTCCATGGCCCCTGTTCCTTTCCCTCCATGGCCCCTCGTTCCTCCCTCCATGGCCCTGTTCCTCCATGGCCCCTGTTCCTCCATGGCCCCTGTTCCTCCCTCCAGGCCCCTGTTCCTCCTCCATGGCCCCTGTTCTCCTCCATGGCCCCCTCCATGGCCCTGTTCTCCTCCATGGCCCCTGTTCCTCCCTCCATGGCCCCTGTTCCTCCATGGCCCCCTGCTCTCCTCCATGGCTCCCCTGTTCCTCCTCCATGGCCCTCCCTGTCTCCCTCCATGGCCCCTGTTCCTCCTCCATGGCTCCCTGTTCCTCCTCCATGGCCCCTGTTCCTCCTCCATGGCCCCTGTTCCTCCTCCATGGCCCCTGTTCTTCCTCTATGGCCCCTGTTCCTCCTCCATGGCCCCTGTTCCTCCTCCATGGCCCCTGTTCCTCCTCCATGGCCCCTGCCTCATCTGTTCCTGGCCACCCACTCTCACTGGTGTCCACTCGTTCATCTTTATCTTTGTATTACACATTGTAGCAACAGTTGCATTGATAGTCTTGTATAATTGTACTCTACTTGGGTCTGAGTTTGACAGTTTGTGTAAGGCTATTTGAACATCGTCAATATCGTTAAATAAAAGATCGTGTACGCGTCTGCCGCACGGTGTTGGATGGAGGCAGAGTCGGTCGTACGTCCCGGAGGATAAATCATTCTAAAACTTTTTTCCACATTTGCCAGACCACACTCATCAAGGGGTTAGGTTAGGCTGAGAGTGTACTTTTCCTATAATCGACTTCCGTATACCAATAGTAGGGTTGCCATACGTCTGTATTTTCCCGGACATTTCCTCCATTTAGGTCTCGAAATCTTCATCCGGAAGGAACTTTTTAAATTCTTCAAAAATCCGGAATTTCAGCTTCCATTATTTTCTCCATGGAAAAAAAAAATGTGAAACTGTAATGATGAGAGAGGGGAGGTGGAAACCGGAGACATCTCGTTCAGTTTTCGTCAGCTGATAAGTCACGTGCATGCCTATACAGTGTTGTCAACTTAGCTGTCAAATATTTGATTGATAAGGGGGTAAAAGTTGATGTGAAGTGTTTTGACCAAGTTAGTAACCTGAAGCAGTTTGTGGAAAATTACAAGTGATGAAGAATTTAGTAATCTGCCAACACATAAAAAGTGGACCAAATACTTTGAAAACTCAAAGAACTTTGAATGTCACTCAGAATTGCTAAGAATTGCACAATTCTTCTTTGCTATACAGTATCATCTCACAATGCAAATGTAGAATGAGTTTTTTCACTGATGCAAAGTCAATGGACAAAGGAAAGGAACAAATTGAGTGTTGAAACAATGAAAGGCATTCTGACTGTACATTACAACTTCTGAGAAACATCTTGCAGTGACTTCTATACCTTTCTAAAGAGCAATCAGCCAATACTGAAAAAGATCCGATCTACAGAAAAGTATACATGGGCACAAAGTCACACACACAGTGGGGGAAGAAGACTGCAGCTAAAGAAGATATTCAGCCTTAAGCAAAGGAAATTTTTATTTTTTTATTTTTAAGATTTCTATACCACGTATGTTGCATATTAGCCGACATTAAAAACACAATGCAATACAGTACACCGATACTGGTGTATGTGTGTATATATATATACAGTATATATATATATATATATGCTGATAACCACAAGGAAAGATGAAAACACGAAGTTCCCAAGCGCTTTCGTGTAATTCACATCTTCAGGGGTGAGTACAGTCTAAGGAGAAGTACAAAACAAGGTGTATATATACAGAGGAGGGTGAGACCAGGTCCACAATGGTCAGGTATTAGGTAATGATCTTACTAATCTTTAAATAGCACCGCAACGGTTGGTAGTCAGGTCAGAGGGTAAGGTGACCCAACCTCCTCACCTGGTTACAAATCTTCTTAATTACCTTGTAATTCAATTGATAGTAGAAACATCATAGAATCTAGTCTCATTAAACATACCGAAGCATTCAACATGAATTTGAGTAATGGCAAGTAACTGGACAATTTTGTAATAAAGAAGATTTGTAACCAGGTGAGAAGGTTGGGTCACCTTACCCTCTGACCTGACTACCAACCGTTGCAGTGCTATTTAAAGATTAGTAAGGTCATTACCTAATACCTGACCATTGTGCACCTGGTCTCACCCTCCTCTGTATATATACACCTTGTTTTGTATTTCTCTTTAGTCTGTACTCACCCCTGGGAACTACGTGTTTTCTTCTTTCCTTGTGGTTATCAGCATATACCTAGATCATGCGCACCTACAGTGATTTACTTGCATATATATATATATATATTTCATGTAAATCCACAATGAAAACGTGGATAAGATAAATCTTGATAAAATCACACGGGAAAATGGAAACAACGGAGTACCTTAGCTTTCGTCTTTATTCAAGACATCTTCAGAGGCAACTAGATTACATGGACAGAGAGAGGCTTAAATATACAGGGTGACCTAAAAACATGAGGTCAGGTCATAATGATGACATCCACTAATCCCCACACCAACACAACCGTAGAGGAGCTTAAGAGAAGGGTGGTGACGTGACTAGACAGGTCAGGTCAGAAAAAGGGGACCCACAAAATAACTGTCATACATCAAGATCAAAGGTTTTCAAAGCATTTTTAACCTTGGGCCACTGACAAATAAATTTATGTAACATATTATCAGTTTTGAACTGACCATCACTAAGGTTTATTGATTTTAATTCCTTAATCAAACTAGCTTCAACCAGAAGTCTTTCTGTGACACAAGATGATTTGAATACTTCTAAGCTTTTTTCCCAAGCAATGGGGTGATTATTATTCCTAACATGAACGAACAAGGCACTGCTTTCAGATGCAGTTCTGATAATATACTTATGTTGTTTGATTCTGAGCTGCAGTGTTTTTCCTGTCTGACCTACATAATTACAATTACATTGGCTACATGGAATACAATAAACACTTCCATTTACATTCAAACTTGGGCTATTCCTTATTAACATATTGGTAATGGTTGAGTCATACTTGAAAACAACATTAATATTTAGAAGCTTGAGGGACCGAACTAAAGGGACAAATTCATCACGATAGGGCAGAGTCAAAATATTCTTAAGTGTAGGAACTTGTCTGGTTACAGAGGAATGAAAGGATTTTTTAGCCCTTTTAAAGCAACGATCAACAAACACAGAAGGGTACCCAAGTTTCTGTGCAATAGAACGAATGTGTTTAAATTCGTCGTCAATAAATTCAGAGTCACAAATACGCAGACATCTTAGGAACATAGCAGAAAAAACTGACATTTTGGTAGACTCAAGGTGATTGGATAAAAAGTGAATGAAACTGTCTACCTGTGTGGGCTTTCTATATACCTTAAATTTATAGTTTTGGCCATTTCTCATGATAAGCATATCAAGAAATGGAAGGGATTCACTTATTTCTCTTTCAATTTTGAATGTGATACTAGGGACAATATTATTAAGCTTGTCTAAAAATTCCAAAGGGTCACTGTTTTTAGGCCAAAGACAAAGAACATCATCTACATATCTATACCAAGGAGGAATACAGTCCACTACATTGGGAAGTAATCTAGACTCAAAGAACTCCATATAAATACAGGCTAGAGGAGCAGAAAGACAATTACCCATGCTCATGCCAAATACTTGCTTGTAGAACTTCCCATTTGCACTAAACACATTGTCAGTTACGCATAACTCTATCAATTTCAGGAAAGTATCATGTTCAATAGTTAAATCTAACAGTTGTAATTTATCTTTAAGAAATGAAAGTAAGTCTTTCACAGGTACTCTAGTGAACAGTGAATTTACATCAAAACTTATCAATTCGCAAGGTTCGTTGTGTTTCTTGAGTTTATCAATTAAATCACTGCTATTGCGTATATGTGAATTAGATATTTGGCCTGTAAGAGAGGATATCATCTTTACCAGCCACTTGGATAATTTGTAAGTAACAGAACCCACAGAACTCACGATAGGACGTAAT